CTATTGTGCGTTCCGGCTTCTCTGTATTCTGATTCAACACCTCCTTCCAGCCAACTGTTGTTTTGGTGAGAGTAGTTCTGCGGGATTGTCTGAATGGGTGCTTCATTTCTGATCTGTCTTGGTTGTTCGACTTGGTAGTTTTGGCTGTGGTCCCTTCTACTATCTCTGTTGTAACTTTCACTCGGTCCAAGTCTCTCAAAAGCAGACTTCCTTTGATTTTGATCTTCCTTCCTATGAGATGTTGACCTGGCAGGTAGTCTTGAACGGGTTCTTCCATCTTGTGTCTTTAGGGCTGCTATCCGGAGAAGTTCCTGGAGCTGTTCCTGCTGTTCACTGGATGCGAGGTCATTCCGAGTTCTTCTAGTGCTTCTCGGATCCTATTGTAGGGTGTATTCGCTGCGCGTCTTTCTTCGACTTCTTGTTCTGATTTTCTTCTGTTGTACTCGGCCAGATCTGACTCATATCTGATCCAAGCTTTCTTGCGCTGCCTAGCACAGCGTTGGCGTCCTTGTTTCAATTTGTTTCTTCTTTCTCTGGCTTGCCTCTGATTCTCGGTCTCACCATCGTAGCCCTGGGCAAAGGGTGATATGTTGGATTCTGATTCATCTGATGACCTGACGTCGGGTGCTTCTGGGGGGACCAACGGTGATCGAGGATGGCGAACCATGAGTACTTCTCGTGCGTGAATTGTTCTGTTATCGGCGTTGGTTTCCGCACTATCGGAGTTGCTGATAACCTTAGTAGAGGCTTCAAGGTCGTAAATCGAATCTCCTTCTTGGTAGGGTAGAATTGCTGTTGTCGTCGTGCCGGCTAGTCGGGTGCTGCTATCCTCAAGAACAGAACCTAGCCAGTGGACGATGTAGTCTTGAGATGTTATAGTTAGTACGAGACCTTCCTAAGCTCCTTTCAGTGGCATTCTAAGCACCGGATCGAGGGATCCTTCGAGCCGTGCCTGATAAGACTTTGCCATGTTGTGGAGTCCGAACGGAAAAAGACCCGGCTTCTTGAAAGGACTCTGAGTGTACTCCGAGTTGTATTCTTGATATGTTGAGGCCGTGTTCCGGAGCCCCACCGGAAAAGAACTCGATTTCTTGAAAGAACTCGGGTAAGACTCCATCTCGGATGCGGAGCCTGAGTTCGAGTCGGATGCGCAAAGCCGCGAAATCTAAGTTGGATCGGACATCACAAGCTGCGCGAATCTTCTAGTGAGTTGATTTGTCGTAGTCGCCGAAATAGAAAAGTCTTCATGATGAACCGAATCTTCGAGGAGACGGCTTTGGAGCTTGCCATCATCGTCTGCCTCGTAGATCCATGAACCGAAGATGAAGGTTGATCCCGCTGAGAAGATCATGTTGTCGAGGTCCGTCGAGCTCTCGGATGCAAATTCGCTAAAAGCCCCTACTTGGCGCGCCAGCTGTCGATGTTTCACCACAGATAGCCTGCCACGGGGGTCCCCGGGGCAGTTTGTTCGGGCTTCAGCGTATGCGGAACTCGACGGTGAACGCAAGAGACAGTCGATTTATCCTGGTTCGGGCCCTCGGTTGCGATCGAGTAATAGCCCTACGTCCAGTCGGCGTTAGCCTTGCGTTGGATTGATTGTGGAGTGTTCCTTTTTTCCTCTAGGAACCCCGCCCTCCTTTATATAGTCAGGAGGTCAGAGTCCTAGTCGGTTTACAATGAGAGTTCCTAGTAGAATTACAGAATACTACTACTACTAAGGTTCCATGAAAAGAATCCTAGTTAGACTAGATCTTCTCTCTTCATGGCGGGGTACCCTGTGGGTCCCGCGTCAACAATCCTATGCCACTTGGGACCAGGGGCCATGATGTTTTATTTCTCAGAGCTGAGACAAGTTTTCTGTTGTTTCGTATGGCCTTCTGGTGATTTTTTTTGGCAGTAAACTTATGTGCACTTATTTTGTTTTCAAGTTCCAGATTTTTAGTGCATTTGCACTTCTGCCTTGTGTGTGTGTGTGGGGAGTCATACTAGTTCCTATCTAGATGAGCATCGGTTTCAGATTTGCTGGACACTATTATGCTGATGTTCCTTTATACCAATATTTCTTGCAATTCATGGTTTAGTGTGCTTGGTGTTTCTGGGCTGTTCGTGGAATCCTATCCTTTAAAGTTGTTTTGACGGTAATCCAAAGAAGATATTTTGAATACAGGCGAGGCATGTTATTGTTTCTTGGCATGCATGGCAACTTTTACCTGGTCACTGGTACATTTGGGAATTTCGGAGCCTGATATGGATTACGAGAAACTAGCACATATGCATTGTCAAATGTATTCTTCAAGAGACACTGTAGTGTTTTTATTTTTTAAGACATAGATAGAAATATACTCCAGGTTTAATGCCCTTATTAAATATGATAAAATCAATATATATTCACTGTGGATTATTGTTAATTTATTGACTCTTTAAACTTTTCTTAGATCAAAGACCATTTGTTCTTGCTTCTATTGAAAACATAAGAGTCAAGCGAGTTTAAAGCGAAGAACACCTGACTTGCACACCTCCCCTAACCAAAAACTCTACCATATCAACTCAACTAGAAATTAGAAAGTTATAAGCTTATTATTGAAACAGCCAACCCCATAAAATAATGGATAACTCAATCTATCACTTACTCCCTTATACAAGACTTTAAAACTTATACTCAAATATAAGAGATTCTAGGGGATAGAAAATAATTTGGATTAAACAGAAGCATAAATTTGGTAGGTGTTATATTGCTATTTGCCATTTATCAACCAACCATCATTAATCATGTTGATGATAACATCTGATTAAAAAATAAAAGAGGCCATATACATCTTTTGCGTGCTCTTTTAATTTATCACAAAATCTTCGGAATGCACTATACTACATGACAAAATGCACTATTTTACAAGATAGAGGAAGTATGAGACGATCTTCACGTAAAAGGTCATTAGAGCATCTCCAGCAGCCCCTCTTTTGTAACCCCCAATGAGAAAAAACTGTTATTTTGAAGATCTTGTAGCTCCAACAGTTTCCCAAACCCAACTCCAATGAGAATTTTTTTTGAGTTCCTCAAATCATAGCCTCCCACGGTCTCAACCCTCAAATAAAGGGGAGACATCTTCTCCCCCAATACTAAGCCTGGGCAAAATACCTGATACCTATTACCCGTACCCGAATTACCCGATCCCAAATTCAGATAGCGATTTTGATTACCCGAAATTAATTTGGGTAATTCGAGTAATATCCCTCGGTACCCAAACTACCCGAAGTACCCAAACATTTGTCTATGTCTTTGTATTTATCATGTGCTTTTAGTTGAACACTTGAACTTATCACTTTATTAGAATACAATTATCTCTTTTGAACAAGTGACTGTAATACATTATTCTTTGCAAAATGCTATTGAAATTATATACAAATTGTTGCTGAAATTATATATAAATTGCTACTGAAATTTTATGTAGTTTGTTGTTTTCTGTAAATTCGGGTATATCGGAAATACCCGAACTCGAATTATCGGGTACCTAAAATTACAGGTAGTGTTTTTTGGGACTAATATCGGGTAGCAATTTTTACTACCCAAATTTTGAATTACCCGACCCGAAAAAATCGGGTAACCCAAACGCCCAGGCCACTCTTTACAATGATAGAAATACTAGTCTAATTAATTGGTCTTAAACTGAATCTCAATGTTAAAACCCTTCTACCTTATGTAAACACATGGTTACTTATTGTTGTAACATGTGAGCAGTGTTAACACATGGTTTCTGTCTTTGTGAAAATACTCACTAAAACTATTACTAGCATGTTTATATATTCCTCTATTTTTTTGTTCAAACGGAGATTGCTGGCCCACAAGGCAGTGACCGAACGGCCGTTACCAATTGGGACCTCGTGTGTCATATATTAGGAAATTTTCTGTTCAAACAGGAGTAATAAAATTTCCTATAGTTATTGGGGATTTTTCTCAAGTCGGCAGCCGGGCGGCTCTTCCCCCCGAGGGCCGAGGCGAGAAGCGAGAAGCTCCGGCATTGCCGGAGCCTCCGACGGCCATGAACTCCGGCGCAGGTGGCTCCGGCAATCAGACTCAGCAACCTTCTTTGCCTGTTTGCGCCCCTCACGCCCATGCGGCTATGTCTCCACATCCACGCTCCCTGTTCGTTTAGTTTATAAGCCATATTTTTTCAGCCAACGAACAGTATTTTTCTCTCACAATATATTAGCCAATAGTACTTTCAGTCCTGGTCAAGCGAACATAGCAACGGTCGTCGGTGGTGGCTACGCAGGCAAGGTGTTCGACGATATGTACCCTGGCCCCCCGAGCCGCCAAAAGGTTCGACGCGGCGCTCAAGCTGCTGCACCGGTCGTGGGCGGACCTCCCGTCCAACATCCTCGGCGTCGTGGCCGGCCGCCTCGCCAGCGTGGAGGACCACGCCAGGATGCGCGCCGCCTGCCGCACGTGGCTCGCCGCGGCACGCCTCCACCGGCCGCCGCTGCCATTGCCCCTGCTTGTGCTCCACGACTTCGATTTCTCCAGCTTCTGCTCCGATGGGGCCATGACGGGCATGCGTCACAAACGACCAATGTTTCGAGTCCCATTTTTGCAATTGTCTCGCAGCCCTACGAAGGTCTTTTATCTGGTGACGGCCCGTGCTTCTTGATGAAAGCTTTCTCCCGGGATGTCATCCATCTCCCACCTCCTTCGCCAGAGCCAGACTCCAACTCTGTTGCTGCCTTGTCTAATTCTGCTGATGGCCACAGCAGATGTTTTGCTGTCACCAATGGCTCTAATTCTTTCGCTGCCTACATCAGATCTCTCACCAACTCTGTTGATGCCTGCAAGAGATCTCTATCTCTCCCTGTCATCAATGGCTCTGGTCAGATGCTGTGTATAGTCCACGGCCCGCAGTATGCGATGTCGTTCCATAAGGTGGTCTTATCCTCTTCACCTTTCTAGCTCCATGTGGGTTGTGGCTGCCCTCTCCACGATGAACGTACCTATGCTTGCGCTATAGACGCCTGGGATGTTGTCGTGGTGTGTGTGCCTTGGCGGCTGCATCACTGGATCCAGCGATATTGCCTTCTACCAGGGGAAGCTCTACATGTTCAACAAGCTCGCTTTTGAACTTTTTTGCATTGAAACCTCTGAAGATGGTGACAGGGGCCTGATGGTTTCTCGTGTTGAGCGTTGTGTGACCGAGGAACTACCTAAGATCCGTGGTACCTGTATACGCAGGTGGAAGATAGCAGAGTGGCATGGAAAATTATTGCTGATTCTAACATACTTTGGTGGTTCTGAATGTTTGGGACACATTCGTGAGGTTAGAGTACTTGAAGTGAACTTGAGCACCAATCCAGTCAGATTCACCGAGATCAACAGCTTGCATGGCGACTGCATCTTCATCAGCCCATGCAGCAGCAGGACTTTTCGTGTGTGTCAGTATGACGGAGTTGAAGAAGATCTTATCTATTTCATTGATGCTCAATTCTCTGCCTATGATAATTGTGCACCTGTTTTTGTTAAGTTTGTGTACAATATGAGAGATGGTACAGTTGCACCGTTTGCGGCAGGCATATTAGAGGAGTACCTTCAGGTACCAAAGGGCAGGCCTCTGAATCCAACATGGCTCTTCCCTTCTGAATGAACTGCTGGAGATCAATTGTGGCCATGAGGAGTGTTAATATACGGGTAGCTCTGATGTTGATTGGTGCCAGGCGCAGCATGGTGTTCAATTTCTAAGAACTGAAAATATGTGTGTGCCATTCTTATATGCCTTGTTATTGTAATTGCTTTTCTGAATTCAACTGTTTTTAAGCATTAAACTGATGCACTTAATTTATTTTCACGTATGGACGTACCTATATCTATATGTAATTCCTAATTTCCCATCTATACAAACATTGATTTCAGGTTTATGGACTACAGTAGTTGCACAACTCCATCTTTTTAACTTTCAATTGCAATTCTTGTTTGTAGACCCTTTTTCTCCTTGTGGTATCTTTGGGCCTGATACAGTGGCCTTATACTATGCTGTCATTCTTTTGGACTGGGACACTTTTATGTCAGCGGAATCCTAAGCATGCTTCTATCATTGCAAAATGCATGAAAGTATGTTCCTTTTGATGGACAGATTTGGAACTTTTTGAGAAATTGATACTGGTAGGTCAGTGGCACATGCATTCATGTGGTTTTTCATTATATGTATTAACTTTATTGTATATTTGTAAGGTGTAGGTCATAGAGATTAGTTCATCATTATATACACTATTGTGAAAAGAAAATTGGCACTCTTCTTAGGCCTCTTTTGTTTGTTCCAGTATACTCAGTCTGGACTTTGAAAAATTTAAAGATGATATAGGGCATTGTAGACTGCAAGTGAAGTTGATTTTGCAAATTTAACATTTTAAATTGATTTTTTTTGCGCATATGTACCAAGTGGTGCTTGTGCACCTGATACTTAGCCACATTGTAGAAACCGTCCATAAGGGTGCATTATTTTTAGTCATTATAATCGCGAAGCTTTGGTTTGTACTCATAAAATCAGTTTCTGGATATTTATGTAGTACAGAGTGCTTGTAACGTGTTGATGTACCCAGCTATTATCTAATATAATTCTTCTTTCATCGCAAAAAAAAAAAAATCAACGACAAACATTGTGATAAATGCATTATGACAGCAAACTTGCAATGCATTGCACCTGCAATGTATTTAGTCGATTGATCTTAGTGGAGGTCTTCTCTCTATATATCAGGATAGTATTTCCATGAGACAAACCTTTAGAATCTTTTTGTTTCACTTGTTTTATGGTTAATAGGTATGAATGTCGTTTTCATGTGATATAAAGTACAATGTGAGCAGCTCTACTAGTTGAAAGCTACACTTTTTTATAAATTAATATTTTATCCAACTTTGTATAAATATATTTTATGAAGTTTTTGGAATCTCACTACAAATTTATAAACCAGCTCTGAAATTCTGTCATCATAATAAACCCTTTTTTTTCATTATGTTATGTATAGATATTTGAAAAGAGGCGAGGCTTGATATTGTTACTTTGGATGCATGTCAAGCGGCAACTATTACCTTGTCATCAGTACATTTGGATTTTTTTAGTCTGAATGTGGATTACAGGAAACAGGCACATATGTATTCCTGCTGTCAAATTTAGTCTTCAAGATACAACTTTAGTATTCTTTTTCTAATACATAGCAATATAGGTTTAGTGCCCTAACTAAAATAATAAAGATAAAATGACATATATGCACTGTGAATTATTTTTTGGTTCTTCTACCATACTTTTGAGTTTGGATTTCAAACAAGAAACAAATGGTCGAGTGCATCTTGAATATGTTTCCCTAAATCTTTTGTGTTAAAGTTATTATATCTTTTTAATTCTCAAGCAACAGTTATTTTTCACTAGTAATAATCGCATGTTGTGCATGCTATGGTGATTTGTTTTGGTTGTTTTAATCCTCTAATTGGAAGTGAAAGCATCTAGGCCCCTAGTTGGGTTTCGGTGATTAATGACGACACGAGATTACTACGACTAACGTGTGTTTTGCAGAGGCAATTTGAGTTAGGTCATGATAATGACAATTGATTGGGCAATCATGGTTGTCATGCCCCTGTCGATGGAAATCGTTTCGGTTTTCAAAGGATAGACGACAAGGTTAAGGACGGACTAGTTCTAAGTGTCATTTGGTGTTGGAGAGACACTTAGAGTAGTTTAGGACTTTGTTTTTTCCTTTAGCCATACTATTAAGGGGGGTATGGACTAGTAGCTTGACCTAGGTAAGTCTAGTGGGTTAGGTGTGGTGCACACTTATCAAACCTAGCACTAGGTAGCTCAGGAATAGCCCTAAGATCAATTGAAGTAAACTTCATTCACCTAGGATTTCGAGTTGGAAGTGAATGAAGGGTCAAATGATTGACCGGACGCTGGTTTGGTTGTGACTGAACGCTGGAGGGTGAGTCCGGTCAGTTCATTTGATCAACTGAAGTCGTCTAGTACTGATCGGACACTGAGTGAAGGTGGACCGGACGCAGGTACCTGCGTCCGGTCAACTCCAGAGAGGTTCCAGAGAGGGTTTTTCTTGACCGGACGCGTATACGGTCGGTGCTGACCGAACGCTGGTCAGGATCTGGTAACTGACCGAACGTTGAACAGTGAAGTGACCAGACTCTGGGTGCCAACGTCCAGTCAACATCAGTAAGGTTCCAAAGAGCGTTTTTCTTGACCGAACGCGTCCGGTCAGTACTGACCGGACGTTGGTCAGAGTCCGGTCAGAACTTAATGGCTCTTTCTGACACAGTGGCGGGGATAACTGACCGGAGCGTCTGGCCACCCTGACCGGAGCATCCGGTCACCTCACAGAGTGCTGAGTCAGCCTCCAAACATTATGTTTTGAATGAGGGGGTATAAATACTTACTCCACTCGTCCATGAGAGGCCCCTTGCCCATTTGTTCAGCTGAGAAACACCTTTAGAATGCAAGAGAGAGCAAGAGCCTAGTGAGGTGATTGAGATTTGAGAATCTAAGATTAATGACCTCATTAGTACATAGAGAGTAGCAAGCGTGCATCCATCCTTCTCATTAGGCTTGTCTTGGTCAAGTGAGAGTTTGTGCTTGTTACTCTTCGTGATAGCCATCACCTAGACGGCTCGGTGGTAATTGGGAGTTTGGTGATCATCCGGCGGAGCTTGTGGATGACCCAACTCAAGTTGTGAGCGGTTGTGGGCGATTCACAGCGATGGATTGTCGAAGAATCAGCGCGTAGAGAGCACTTGATCCTTGCGCGGATCAAGGGGAAGCTACACCCTTGCGCGGTTGCTCCAACGAGGACTAGTGGGGAGTGGCGACTCTCCGATACCTAGAGAAAACATCACCGCGTTCCTTTCGCTCTCTTTACCTTGAGCATTTATATTTGAGCAATTCATTTTATGTCTTTACATTCCTAGAATTGCCATGCTAGAGTAGGATTGAAACCTAGGGTACAAAACTTTTGTGCGGTAGAATAATAGAAACACATTCTAGGCACAAGGGGTGAAGTGGGCTAAGTGTAGGGCTTAATTATTGCAAAGAATTTAGAATTAGCCCAATTCACCCTCCCCTCTTAGGCATCTTGATCCTTTCAATTGGTATCGAAGCCTCGTGCTCGCTAAATTAGGCTTAACCGACTAGAGAAAGATGTCCCACGGGGATGGACCCCCTTCTATCTTTGAGGGAGATGATTTTCCTTATTAAAAAATTCATATGGATGCTTATCTAGAAGCTTTAGATTGTGGAGTTCTTAGAGCCGTCTCACAAGGCTTCCCAAAACCTAAGGATCCCACTCACCTTCAAGGCGATGAAGTTAATTGCGAGAAGTGGAATGCAAAGGCTAGAAACACTCTCTTTAGAGGCCTTTGCAAAGAAGTTTTTAACCGTGTGTGAAACCACAAGGATGCCCATGCACTATGATCGGACATTTGTGCGCTCCATGAGGGAACCAAGAGTGAGTGTGAGGAACGCTACCATCTTGTGATGAAAAAGCTTAATTCATTTGAGATGCTTCCTAGAGAAAGTGCAAATGAGATGTATTCATGCTTGAATGTTCTTATAGAGGAAGTCAATGGGCTTGGACTCACACAAATGCAACCCTCCGATATTGTAAGAAAGATCTTGAGTGTCCTCCCTATTGACAAATATGGGCATATTGTGACAGTGCTTCATCATGCTGATCTTTCCACCGCTACACCAACTCAAATATTAGGAAAGATTAATGCACATGAGATGTACATGCACATCACACCACAAGATGGCTCTTCTTCCACCAAGAAGAAAGACTTGGCATTCAAGGCTAGCCAAGAGAAGAAGGGCAAAGCAAGAGTTGATCATGATAGCTCAAGTGATGATGAAATTGATGATGCAAGTCTTGCTCTCATGGTGAGAAGAACCACCAAGATGCTCAAGAAGCTCAACAAGAACGGTGTCAAGTTTGATGGCAAGAAGAAGAAATTCTTCACTAGCAATAGAAGGAAGCCCATCTCTGAGATGGACTGCTATAATTGTGGAGAACTTGGTCATCTAGCTCATCAATGCCCCAAACCCAAGAAAGACAAGTACAAGAAGAAGTACAAGGGCAAGAAAGATGACTCATGTGATGAAGATGATGATGAGAAGAAGAAAAACAAGCTATACAAGAAGAAGGATGGCAAGAAGAAGGAATTCCACAAGAAGAAGAATGACAAGGCATACATTGCTGGTGATTGGCTCACGGATATTGATTCTTCAAGTTGCTCATCCAATGATGAAAGTGAGAATGAGAACGAGAAGGTGGCCGCTATTGTAATTGATTCTTCACTATCTTCACCGACACCACCGCCGTCATCCTCTACACACCTATGACTTATGGCCAAGGGTAAACAAAAGGTACAAAATGATGATGATAGTAGTGGTGATGATAATGCTAGCAATGATGATAGTGACAGTGATGAAGAATTTGAATCACCTTCTTATGATGATCTTGTCAAGTTGCTAAACCAATACACTAAAATCATTAGAAAGACAAGAGCTAAAAATGAAAAGCTAGAACTTGAGAAGAACTCACTCTTAGCAAAATGTGACATAACCGAAAAAGCTAGTGTTGAGCTTAGAGAAGAAAA